GGGATACCCGTTGGCCTGGGACATTTCGGCTTCATATTTAGGATGGACATGTGGTCAGAATCACACGTGATTTACATACCCGAACACGTGACGTGATAACGCCGGGGGGGTAGATCCTATTCTCTTTTTTTTTTTTTGAAAGAAGAATATACTGTACAATCGATGATGTGCATTAAACGTGATGCGACGTATGAGGTACAGTAGAACATGTGCAAACTGCGCAATGAATCTAAGGCGATGTACGTTGTGCAAGTTTGTGGCGCGATGTACGCTGTGCAAAACATGTGCACAACTAGTGTGTCACAATACATAGTGTGCCATATACGATGTGTCATATATGTGTGGCGCTCTATGGGGCGCAGCACATGTTACGCGAGATTGCGTTGTGCAATCTCTGCGGTGCAGTACACGCAGCGCAATATAGGCAGTGATCTATATACATATAAAATATAACCATATCTGAGGGTGCGCCGCTGGATCTCCCCATTGGGGAAGGGGGAAGGGGGGGAGCATCCCCGATCCGTCGTCGGGGAACCTCCCTCCTCCCCCCCTTCCCCGATCCGTCGTCGGGGACCCCCCCCCCCCTCCCTCCTTTTCCCCGATCCGCCGTCGGGGACCCCGCCCCCTCCCCCCTTTGGCCGCATCCCCCCCCCCTCCCCCCCTTTCGCCACGCCGCCCACTGACTCCGGAACCCGACCCCCGCCACCCCTACCCCTAGTCCTCACCCTAACCCAAACCCCTAACCCTAACCCCAACCACGAACCCCAGCCCCAAAGAGTACTCACTACTCATTACTCACTACCCAGTACTGACTACTCGCTATTCGCTACTCACTTCTCACTACCCCCTACGAACTACTCACGACTCACTACTCACTATCCACTACTTACTACCCACCATCCACTACTCGCTGCTCACTACTCCCTACTCACCACTCCCTCCTCCCTACTCACTATTCAGTACTCACTCCTCACTACCCACTACTCAATACTCACTACTCACTAAGCACGACTCGCTACTCCCTACACACTACTCACTAATCACTACTCATTACCCACTACCCACTAATCCACTACTCACTACTCAATACCCATTGCCCACAAAGCACTACTCACTACCCACTACTCGCTACTCCCTAGACAATACTGACTACACAGTACATTGTACTCCCTACTCGCTACTCCTATACTCGCTACTCAACACTCACTACTCACTCCACGCTACTCACTACTCACTACTCACTACTACCTACCCACTAGTCATTACATACTCTCTAGTCACTAGTCACAGGCAACTTGTCACTAGTCACTACTCACTACCCACTACTAACTACTCACTAATCGCTACTCACGACCCACTATTCGCTACCCACTTCTGACTACCCACTGCTCACTACTCCCTACTCCCTACTCCCTACTCACTACTCAAGACTCACTACTCACTAATCGCTACTCCTTAGTCGTTACTCACTAATCACGACCCACTACTCACTACTGGCTACTCTCTACTCACTACTCACTACGCCCTACTCGCACCTCATTACTAACTACTCCCTACTCCCTACTCGCTACTCACTACACATTACCCACTGCCACTACACACTACTCTCTGTTCATCACTACTCACTACTCACTACTCACTACGCACTACGTACTACTCAGTACTCCTCACTCACTACTCACTACTCACTACTCTCTACTCGCTACTCACTACTCACAAATCACTACTCACTACTCACTATTCACTACTCACTACTCACTACGCACTACTCACTACGCACTACGCACTACGCACTACTCACTACTTACTAATCACTACTCGCCACCCACTACTCACTACCCACTACTCACTACCCACTACTCATTACTCCCTACTTTCTACTCAGTACTCACTACTCACTACTCACTACTCACTGCTCACTGCTCACTACTCGCTGTTCATTACTCACATATCCGTACACACTACTCACTACTCACTACTCACTACTCCCTACTCCCTACTCCCTACCCCCTACTCGCCACTCACTACCCACTACTCACTACCCAATACTCACTACTCACTACGCACTAACTCACTACTCACTACTCACCACTCCCTACTCCCTACTCCGCATTCCCTACACACCTTCTCTGGCGCAGAAAGGAAAAGCGAGAGAGGCCCCCTCTCCCAGGCTCCCTTTCTGGCGCAAAGGAAGGGGAGGAGGGGGGGGGTCCGACCCCCCCCCCCCCCCCTTTCAGCGCCAAGGGCGGGGGGGGGGGTCCGGACCCCTCTTCCCTTTTTCAGAGGGGGGGGGGGGGGGGGCGTTCGGACCCCCCCCCTTAAGGGGAGCTTAAGGGGGGAAGGAGGAGGGGGGGAGGGTCCGGACCCCCGCCCCCTTGAAGGGGGGGAGGGGGGGGGGTTCTGGACCCCCCCCTTTAGTGTATTCAGGGAGATCCACTGGCGCACTTTGACAATACATATATATATATACTTATACTACCGCCCTTCGAGCGATAAGGAGGTCGTGCGTGGGGGGGAGAGGGGGGGGCCAACATCTGACCCCCTCGATCGCAGTATCGATCTCACCCAACGGGACGCCACGGGACACCACGGGACACTATGGGACACTTATCGATCTCACTATCGATCTCACGATCGATATCCCTAAACGGGACACCACGGGACACCACGGGACACAGCGGCACACCTCTCGATCTCACTATCGGTCTCATCCAACGGGGCACCATAGGACATCGGACACCACGGGACACCTCGGGACACCACATCGATCTCATTATCGATCTCACTGACTATCTCACTGAACGGGACACCACGGGACACCACGGGATACCACGGGACACCTGTCGATCTCACTATCGATATCACTATTGATCTCACTTTTTGGGACACCACGAGACACAACATCGATCTCAATACCGATCTCACTATAATCTCACTACCTATACGACCACCCTACGGGTGATAAGGAGGTTGGGGGGTGGAAGGGCCGAGCAATGGGCAACAGTGGTGATTGTTCTCCTGACGATGCCAGTGGAGATTTTTTTGTCGGAGGCCTGCTGAAGCCCCTCTTGTCGCCACTGACTAAACCGCTTCGAAATATTGCTCAACGGCTGCCCTTCGGCGGTCGAGACCGATGTAACGCCATCATTACCATCATCATAAGAATCATCATCATAATCATCATCAACATCATCATCGGGACACCGACGGGACACCGACGGGACACCAGCGGGGCACCGGCGGGACACCGCGCGCCACCGGCCGCCCGGCGGAGAATCATTTGGTCCGGCCGCGCCTCAGCCACAGGAGACATTCCTCTCGCCCGCCCACGCAGCTTCGCCTCGCCCTCACGGCACGCACGAGCACGAAACCGAAATCGATTTCCCGGCAGGGGGGCTCTCCGTTCCACTTCGATCTCACCCCCCAACCTCCGATCGATCTCACTAAACGGTACACCGCGGGACACCACGGGACACCGGCCGATCTCACTATCGATCTCACTTTTGGCGACACCACGAGACACCTCGGGGCACCACATTGATCTCAGTATCGATCTCAGTATCGATCTCACTATCGATCTCACTATCGAGCTCATTCAACGGGACACCACGGGACACCACGGGACACCGCGGGACACCGCGGGACACCGCGAGCCACCGCCAGACGGGCGGGAGGGGGATAATGATTTGTCTTGACTTCGCACTACGAACGGCGGACACCACGGGACACCACGGGGCGCCACGGGACACGGTGGGATAACGCGAGCCACCGCCGGACGGGCGGGAGGGTGAGAATTATTTGTCTTGACTTCGCCCTAGCAACGGCGGGTTCATTCCTGTCTCGCACCCACGCAGCTTCGCCTCGCCCGCGCGCGCGACACGTTCGGAACGAAACGATTTCCCGGTTGGGGGTCTCCGTTCCACTGCGATCTCACACCCAAACCTCCGATAGTATATGTATGTGCGTGGGCATATGTATATATATATATATATGTGCACAGCCCTGATCACCTTTTTCTGCCAGAGCGGGGGTCTGGTGAGAGCGAGGGCAATTGCCAGGTGGCGTCGGGCAGCGTCGAGGCCCAGCGCCGAGCATTCAACAGAACAAGAGGCCAACACTTTGGGCGCAATGGGACAGAAAGAAGAGGAGGAGGAGGAGGAGAGGAGGTGGACTTGAGCAAGGACTGCGATGGAACGGACCGTTCACATCTGCAGGCGGCTTGCGAGTGGGGCGTGCAAAGCTGTTTGGAAAACGAATCGATGCACAGCCCTGATCACCTTTTTCTGCCAGAGCGGGGGTCTGGTGAGAGCGAGGGCAATTGCCAGGTGGCGTCGGGCAGCGTCGAGGCCCGGCGCCGAGCATTCAACGGAACAGGAGGCCGTAGACCATACTGGATGCCTGGCAGCCGCCATCCCAGCTTAGTAGACCATTAGGGAGAGACGAGGCTGGACAAACGAACTGACAGGCGGCGTTCGGCGGAGCGGTGGAGCCAGAGACCAGCAGCAGCAGCAATGGGGGCGGGATTGGGTTCCGCGATGGCTGCCCACCGCTTGCCCCCAGGCCCGCCGCCCTCAAGTGTGATGTGATGCAAGGCGGACTTACTGCAGAGCCCACCCCGTCCGTGGCATTTGTACAGCGCAAAGGCTGGGGGGGGAGCAGGTGCACCAGCCGCGGAAACGAGCGGCCTTCCTCCATCTGGTACCGCGTTGACAGAAATCTACATTGGCGTCTTTACAAGAGGAGCGGGAGAGCAGCAGCATGCGGGGATGAGACCACATCATTGACGAGCGAGGGTTTTCTAAAATAAGAGGCACGGCGAGGCGCTTGCACTCGAGGCCGACTCGCATGGCGAAATGGAATGTGGCGTTGCTCACGCGGAGCCTGGCGGCGGCGTCGCCCTGCCGACCAGGGTGGCCGTTCAGAGCGCCAGGTGAGCGATAAAAATGGCGGGGGGCCTGAGACCATGTCGAGCTGTGGGGAGCGCACATCACTCCTCGCACCACGCGAGATCTCAGCCAGCCGATCACGATGGCCCCGCACACGCGCCGAGACAGGTCGCAGGCAGGGTGGGCAGCCACGTCGATCCGCAGGACCGCGTAGTCGGACTTCCGCTCGAGCCAACTCGCAACCTTGCCAGTACCGCTGAACAGGTCCAGGTACACCTGGTGCCTACGGGAGCCCGAGAGGGCCGCCCGCAGCGCGGCCCGCCAGTGGCGGCGCACCGCCGCGTCCGTCAGGACTTCGGCCGCACCGCCCGCGTCGCCGCCGCGCCAGCTGCGCCCTGCGCGGCGCGCGAGCCCGCGGCAGCGGCGGCAGCGGCGCCCGGCCCCGCAGCAGGTCGCCCAGGCGGGCGTCGATGTCCCGCCCGAACTGCGCCACCTCGGGGCTGAGCTTCCCGACCTCCGCGAAGTACCTGACGTGCCTGGCGTGCCGCTTCGTCGAGCTGTCCGACTGGTGCCTCAGCATGGCCTGGATGTCCGCGAGCTTCTCGCCCAGGACTGCGGCTCGGTACGAGGCTCCGCCGTGGCGCACCTGGCACGGGTGGCAGTCCTGGTGGCCCAGCTGGTCGAAAACCGTCCTGGACTTGGCGTTGAAGACCCTCGCGTCGAAGACCCAGAGCGGCTTGCCGTCTGGGCGGCCTCGCTTCAGCCTGGCCAGGTCCACGCCGAGGGCCACGGACATCGAGTCTGACAGCACGACGCCCTCGTCGCAGCCCAAGATCTTGCTGACCTGATGGTACTCCTCTGGGAAGAGAAGCGGGCTCCACACGGCTCGGCCGGAGCGAGGCGCGGGCGCCACCAGCGTCGCGGGCGTCATCTGCACGATTTCGCTGGGAAGCCGAACCATCGTGTCCCAGCTGAGCGCCAGGGCGATGGCGAAGTTCCGCCAGCCTCGGTGCAGGGCGACGCCCACGGCCGCGAACAGCAGCCCCCTCGCCATGGGGGCCCGCGTCGACCCCCGCGCCAGCTTGCGGAAGCCCCGCAGCCCGGCGGCGGTCCTCTCCAGAGCCGCCGCCGCAGTCAAGCCCAGGCCCGGGTTGAAGTGCTTCAGCGCCGCCAAGGCCTTGTCCCCCTTGTGGTGATTGTGGCCCTCCCAGAACAGGAAATCGAGGTACTGGGAGAAGGTCGAGTCGATGGATGCCAGCCCGAGGACCGACAGGCCCTTCGAGCGGGCCCAGGTCAGGAAGTCCAGGTACTCCTTCTCGAAGTACACGCGGGACGCGTTGCCGACCTTCAGGCTCTGCAGCACCGCGAGCCCCTCGGCCTGGGCTCGCTCGTCTGCGCCGCGGTGGGCTGAGCGGCGAGCCTTCGCCCAGGCTAGACGGAGAGCCTCGGCCCTCGCTGGGGGCGGTCTCGCACGGCTGGTCGACGCCACTGTCCGAGCTCGAAGATGAGGAGTCGTCGCCGACCGCGCCGCCGCTGCCCGCCCCGCCGAGGAGCCCCGCGAGGCCACCGAGCGGGTAGGGATCGTCGTGCAGCGCGCCCCCGAGCCCGGCCGCGCCGGGCCCGCTGGGGCCGCTGGGCTCCGCACCCGATGCCGCGGCACAGCGGCAGTGGCGCCTCCGAGCGAGCGCGTCGACACCCCGGCCGAGGGCCTGGGGCCCGCTGGAGCTGGCTGACGGGCCTCCGAGATACGCAGCATGTCGGGGGTCAGCACGAGCGTCCAACGCATGATGGAGCCTGAGCCTAGAGGGCTTGCCGGCGGGGTTCCACTCTGACGGAATCCATATGAGGATGAAGGTGGTGTCGGTGACAATAGATATGGCGCACAGCTGCTGCAGGACGTGATTGAGAGTGATGGAAGGGGAGCGCCCATTTCCAACCGCGAGTGCGAGCCCGAGGTTGTCGACCAAGATGAAGTGCCGATGACTGCGCCCGCAATGCCCTCGCACTGCGCGCCGTGCGGCCATTACAGCCGCTCGACCCTCAAGAACGGTGATGTCCTCGTCACGCTGAAACTCGCCGTGGAAGAGGACACCCCAATCGTTGAAGTCACCGATCGAGGACCTCGCGACCCCCTCGAAGCTGGTGGGGCCAGTGCGGGCCCGGCGGCGGCCGACCTTGGCCCCCTCGACCGGGTCGAAGCCAAGCGCGCACTCGCGGGCCACGATGGCGCCCAGCACGGAGCATCGCCAGGCCTCAGCTGACGAGGCGGTGCGCTCCACGAGCTCATCGGCCCAGGTCTGCCCTACCACGCCATAGCCGCCTCCTGAACCAGATTGGCCCCGGGAGGCGTCCGGGGCGTAGACGAAGGGGCTGTTGGGCCTCTTGGAGTCGGAGAAAGCGAAGACCAGCAAGGCAGCCGCCTGCCGCAGCTCGAGCTCCACGCGGCTCCACAGCCGCAGGCGGCGGTGTCCAGCGACGCGGGCAAAGACGTATGCCTGTTGAAAAATGCTCAAAAGTGGCCGCCTCAAGAGTGCGGCCCAAGTGAAGTGCCCAAGTACGCTAAAGATTTCGCCCCCCGTGGCCGAGCGGCGGTCCGCCACGAACAACAAAGCAAGTCGGATCTTCCACATCCGACCCGGACTGATGCCTACCCGCCCGCTGCGCCTCTCGAAAGCGATGCCGGTGAAGGTCTGCAGGTCCTCGGGCTCCATGACGCCCTTGCACTTCAGGCCGACCCGCTCCAGCTCGCTGGCGACCTCGGTGCAGTCGGCCACGCAGCGGTCGCCGTCGCCGCCGACGATGCACACGTTGTCGACGTAAACGCCAGGCTGGGTCGAAGAGGTGCGGACCTGCACGGGAGCGGAGGTCCATGATGAGCGGCCCGGTGTCGATACCCGACCGCAGCACGGTTGTCTCCAGCAGCCTCTGACAAAAATAGAGGCTCCACGACCACCCCATTGGCAACACTTGCAAGAGAGGCGAACCGAAACGAGCGTCGGGCAGGTCAATGTTCACCCCAGCCGCCTCGGCGAGCTGTCGGAGCGAACTCAAGCGCACGCTCGGCAACGAGAAATGCTCGTCCATCTTGCCAGGCAACTTCACCCTGTAGAAGGCGTTGTCCACGTCGGCCTGAGCCATACTCAACGAAGAAGAAAGATTGGTACGTAGCGCCGCCCACGCGGCGGCACTGGGTAGCTGAGAGTGATCAGGGTCATGAAACCGTGCGTTGACTCGTCGCGTGTCGAAGATGAGCCGAAGCCGTTTTCGCCCGCTCTTCCACACACACACACACACACAAATCGAGCCGCGCGTGCAGGGCCTCGACCCCGCCTGCTGCCGCCGTCGGTGGGAGCGGCGCGGCGCGAGGCTGCCCCCCGCGGGCGGCTGCGACGGGCCCAGGCCCGACGCACCGCCGCTTGGGCGGCCTCGCGCCACGCCTGCGCGCAGCAGACAGGGCGGAGGGTGGGAGAAAGAACGCGCGCCAGGGAGGCACCCGCCGCGCGCGCGCGCGGGGCGCGCGCGCGGCGCCTCCTCCAAATGCAAATCGCCTGCGAAGCGCACGCGCCGCGGGGGCAGCGACCCCCCCCCGCGGCGACGCAACCCCGGCGCTAGCAAATCACCTGCGAAGCGCACGCGCCGCGGGGCAGCGACCCCCCCCCCCCGCGACGCGCAACCCTGGCGCGCGACGGCGCGATGGCCCGCGCCTGCGCAGCGAGGCCGCGGTCGCGTCGCACTGCCGCGCGCGCGACCTACGCGCAACCGTGGCCGATTTGTGCCCGCCCACAACGGTGAACGTCCGCGTCTGCGAGCGGACTTGCCGCCGTGGGCCTACCACAAATCGAGCCGCGCGCGCAGGGCCTCGACCCCGCCTGCTGCCGCCGTCGGTGGGAGCGGCGCGGCGCGAGGCTGCCCCCCGCGGGCGGCTGCGACGGGCCCAGGCCCGACGCACCGCCGCTTGGGCGGCCTCGCGCCACGCCTGCGTGCAGACCCAATGCCACACGGCACGCAGGCGACACGGGCCGGCAACGCGCGCCCACCCGCTGCCGAACGCGCGGGGGCAGAGCACGGGCGCCGTCGCGCGCACCCGCCCACGCACAGAAGCGAAACGTGGCGGCGCTGGCCGCCGGCGCCTAGCAGGCACCCTCGTCCGAATCCGACTCCAGCATGTGCGCCTGGCGCGAGCAGCGCGCCGCGGCGCGGGCGGAGGGCGCGTGGCCCCGCCTCCACGACCGCGTCCCTTTCCAGATCGTCACGGTCGAGATACGCCATGAAAGCGCAGGACCGCCACTCCCCGGCCGCGAGAATCTCGGCCAGCGTCGCGCCAGCCTCCTGCAGGTCCTTGGCGTGGCCCCTGCGGAGGTCATGCAACCGAAACAGGCTCGCCCCCTGGACACCGAGGGCAGCGAGCATCTCGCGCAAGGTCCGCAGCGCAGCAGCCGCCGAGATGCCTCCGGAGAGCCCGCGGCCCAGCCCGCAACGCGCCACCCAAGGGCCCAGGGTGCGCACGGGGCACGTGGCGCGGCACGATGAGCACCAGCACTTCCGCGACAGGCGACTGCCCTGCGGCCGGTTCTTCCGCCGCCGCAGCAGCAGCGCGAGCTCCGATTTGCCCGGCACTAGCGCCGCTTGAAAGGGCGGCGCGTCGCCGGCGTCGGCCACGCGCACGGCCGGCAACGCCTCGCTGGGAACACGCAACAAGAACGTGTAGGCGAAAAGGAAAAGCATCGACGCGCGGAGCCACTCGGGGCGGCGCGCGCCCAACTCGACCAGCGCGGCGACCGCGCTCTTACGGATAAACAAGCGCGGGCGCGGAGTCCAATCGGCCCGCGCCCGGGCGGCGGCGCGCGCACGCCTGACCTCGGGGCGGTCGAACACGGCGACGCAGACCCCAGTCAGGAGGCAGCCGATCTTAACGTAGCTGCAGTAACTTGCGCACGTCTCCCCGCAGCGAAAGAGGGCGCTCCAGGCGACCAGGTCCGCGCAGGCTGGCGGGAGCTGCATGCACGGGTATTTCAACATTCTGATGCAGTAGGCCTCCCAGCACTTGAGGCCGCTTCTCACGCTTGGGAGCGACCGTGCGCATGAAGGCAGCATAGCGCGAACGCGTTCCTCCTCCCGCCAGCGGGCCGCGCCCGCCAGACTGCGGAGGCGAGCAGCGGCCTCGGCGAGCGCCGCCCGGGGCCCGCGCGTTATTGGCAGCGCGACCGGCGCGCCCAGCTGGTCGAGGACGCTCGGGACGGGCGCCTCGCGAGCCACGGCGCGCGGGCATGCGCAAGCGCGCGGGGCCGATGACGCGCGCCTGCGGCGGCCCAGGGGGTGACCCCGGGGCGCTCGGCGCCGCGCGTCTCGCCGGCGACCGGCTGCGGGCGGGCGCGCGCCCTCCAACTGCCGAGCCCACGGCGACGGGCGCGCCTGCGAGGCGCACGCGCGGCGGGGGGGGGGGCCGCGCGCGCCAAAAACCCTCGCGCAGCCGAGCCTCGGCGCGCAGCAATCTTCGCGGCTCTGAATAATTCGTGCAGGACTTCGACATTGGCCTGCGCGGTGACCGGCCAACCTTCCAGGTCTGCGGCGTCTGCACTGGCGAGCTCGCAGGCTCGTACGAAGCCGTTCTCAGCCAGGAAATCAGCAGCCCAGGCGACGGCCGTCCTGGGCGCTGTCGGGCGCAAGGAACACAATTCAAGGAATAACGACATGATGCCGCGCGGCACGCCTGACAATGCGAGCGACGCGCCTGAGGCACTGGCCGCGCGCACTCCGCTTGCGACAAAACGCGGGGCCCTAGGATGACAAGCGCGGCGGCGCGCCGAACGCTTTGCCGCGCCCAAACTTAAGTATCGCGACGCCCCGACGCACAAGATGGCACCCGGGCGCGACATGGCGCGCGGTTTAGCCGAAGAGGCGGGCCACAGAGAGAGGCATCCCGAAGCCGTTTTCGCCCGCTCTTCCACGCACACACACACACACACAAAACACGCCCACCGTAGCACTGCGCTTGGCCCCGACTCTGACAAGGCCGGAGGTGTGCAGGTCCAAGATGAACTGCGCATAGCGCCGCCTATCCGCCATAAGATTGCGATCATTGTGAAGCTTGATCTCCTTGTCAGGCGCTCGCGTTCGGCGCAACAAATGTCTCTCCCAATGCACCCACTGATCGTGCTCGAGGCCACGCAGGACGTCGCTGGGATCACAGCGCGCGCCCGGCCCCGGCAGGGAGAGGATCTCCCTCTGGTACTGGGCGGGTTGCTCGGGCTCGGTAGCGTAGCCCGGCTGGTGGCCGCACAGCTCCTGGTGGGCTGCCGCGGGCGAGCAGGGCGGCGGCCCCGCCTGCTCGATGATGGACTGCATGAATTCCAGGCTGCGTTGCTGCCCAGCTGGAACTGAAAAATATTCTCGGGCGCCACCATGACCATATAGGGAATTCAAGCTCTCGGCCGCGTCGCCGACCCAGTTC